GGGTGGGTGAACACATACCAAAATGGTTGCAGAAACAAATGGATTTCAATGGTCAAATAAGATCACAGAATAGACAGACATCATCATCCATTGCGAAACATTTGATTGAAACTAGTCATAAGGTTGACATCAAATCATCATTTCTACTGTTATACAAAAGCTTTCAAGGACGTATACCAAGGGTGATTTTGAAGCCTTGGCTATACGGAAATTGAAACCCCCTTCATGTGTTCAAAAACAATTTGTCCTTACACTTAACCTATCCTGGTAATACTGATTTATTAACCGAAGTGGTAATCACATTTGTTTCTATGTACTTTAATATTTTTTTCCTTTGTTATGGCTTACTCTTAACCTGTCTAGTTGACCTTTTAATTTTCATATATAAATATTCTTAACAAGTATATTAGGTGTGATCAGATTGTTCGAAATGTATTACGCAATTCTATCATTACATAATTCTGATAAACTTCATCTTCTTATTGCATTATTGAAATATTAGCTTCCTGAATGTAATGCCAAACTAGCCACTTGAGTGAAAAGAAAGCTTCACTGATTAAAACTGAATCGACACCATAGATATATCCCTTAGAAAATAAAGCCAAATACTGACCAATAGTGTACACCTATCATCTCATCTATGCTTAATTGGTCAGGGTAATATTAAAGGTAGTAGTAATAGTAGTAAACAAGAATTATGAAACAACAAAATAACAAATAGATTCATCTGAGTGGTAAAAAGAAACAAAGACGACGAGTACAAAGAGAAATATCGATTGATGAGAAAGAAGTAAGAGATAGAACATTTCAAATGTGATTGCAACAGAAGTGAAAGTGATGTGGGGAGACAGTGAATTACAATCATTTTAAAAGGTGGCTAAGATATTTGACTAATAATAACAAAGCTGAACGAAGATTATAGAGTATTAAAAAAAATAACAAACAATCATTATACACTATTCAAAACCAATATTTATATTTATTTATTTATTTATTTAAACATATGAACATGGGCACAAGGAGGCACCAAACAGATATGCGCACTGTACAGGTGCCCAAACCTAAGCAGGTGATTTTCTTAGGGGGCCACACTCCAAGCCTTCGACCTGATTGTTTGATCCACAAAGCAGTGGAGTAACGTCAGGAGACGTAGTTCCATGTTAGCTGGTGACTAACAATAGGTTCGTACGTTATTTTTTTCCCTTAGGATCTTGTAGCCCATATCCACCACTAATTTGAAACCAGGATTTTCCAACTCACCTAGTTAAACCCTCTATATCCACCAACGCGGTTAAGGCGTCGGACATTCGCTTTTCGTCCTCTCAATTTCGTAAACAACACCCCGGCTGAGAGAATACAGTAAGTAGAACTTCCGTGGCAGTGGTTGCATGCACGTGGTCATGTGAAAGCATTTCGATAAGGAAAGCTGGTTCTCCCCACTCCTGGTCATACCAGGGCATTCAAAACCAACGATTAGTATTAATTGTTAAATGTAATCCATAAGTGACTGATCATTGTCACCATGTAACATTAACAATAAAATGAAAACAAATTACATGATTATATAATAAGGCTAGAATTTATTGTTAATATTTCAGTGAATGTAGTAAATTCATGCTATTTATAGTAAATATTCATATTTCACCTAATTAATGTGGAACCATAATCCCAGATCTTCATATTAAAACACCACAATGAGATAAAACTAACAAGACAACTAGTAAGTAAGTCAAACAGTAGCATAAATGATAATGAGAAAGATTAACCATTCAGAATATGACATGAAAAGACGGAATAGGATAGTACATATGAAAGATAACTGAGACTAAAAAAAACTAGAGTTATATAAAGTGAATGTATCTACGCCATCGTAACCCTTACTCACCCATGTCACTCAAGATCTCCGACTATTGATTGAGTTTATTGAGTGAACGATAACCGAATAATCTGCATCTACCAGAAAAAATCAGTTCAATAGTCAAACATTTCATTGACTGGTGATATCTTTCTATAACCCCTTTAGCTTCCTTCTAATCTACTCATACATCAACCAACATTAAGAGTTAAGATACGGGGTGTTTTGGTATACATGAAACATTTCTCTGTTTCATTAACCGATTTGCCATCTTTATTTAGTGTCTTATGCCTAACCCTATGACTGCATTTTAGTAATGAAAATGAGATACAAAGGAGTGGCTGAACATACTTCTTTTGGATGCAAAGCTCTGGCTTTTTTATTCGAATAGCAATTGCTTCAGTCGTCTGTAGAATTCGCCGTCTGACGGAATTAGGTAGACTGCTGTTAACACGATAGATTATTTCAAAAGATTGCTCTATGTTGGCTGTATGTCCTGTCTGAACTAGATGGTCCTAGATGGAGCTGTTAACAGTTTTGACTACACCTTTGCTTAACCACACGGGGAGATGCTCACGAGCTCGAATGTACAAATTTCTAGAACACCTACCAATATAACTTGTACCACAGGAGCAGTTGAATTGATAAATACAGAAGGATGTGGCTAGTCTAGGTAATTTATCTTTCAACCTCGGAGGAATTATTGGTCGTGTGGAGAACATTAGTTGTAGTTTACTCTTTGGGAATCGTATTTCTGAGTGTTGTCTTTTCTATTCCTATTTATATTCATACTACTTCTGTCATATGTCTAGATAATTTCACTTCTCTGTACTGATAAATACACATATGAGTCAGGTTCTATGTTGCCTATGACTGTCTGATTGGATGCATGTAACTAGTAAACTACTAGTTAATTAGTTCTAACCAGTTACAATGTTCATAAAAAACAGTAGTCCTTTTTTTCCCTCTTCGTTAATTCAGTGATCTGGATTGAAATTATTTTACATAATGTATCAATCGTTTTTTTTCAATTATCATAGCTACTAAGACTAAACAAGTAACATTAAATTGAATTTATTAAAATATATACAGAACGTACTTTGTGGAGGAGGGGGGTTGTGGAGAGAATTTATTTACTAAATCTATCATCTTCACACTTTCGATCACATGGAAAAATACACCCCGGATACATTATTTTTACAGCCTAGTGATACATTTTATTTATCTTAACACACAAATACACATTGAAAAGTGTATTAATAAAATTAGTACATAAGGAATAATTCAAAATAAGGACATAAATTTATACTATAATGATCCTTCTTTTCTTGTTACACAATTTTTAATAAAAAAAAAGTACATTATCACTCAAAAGAGTTGGAATAGTATGAAACTAAGCACATGTAATATAATACGACAAGTACACAAAATACTGAAGAATCTCATTTAGTAATATACAACATAAAACCTGGCATATCTGTATGTCCGCTTAAATTACCACACTTCATTAGTACAATGAGATGAAAAACTAAATTCCAAAGAAGTACAGATAGTAACAGTATTAGCGGTGGAGAAAAGGTTAGATATCGAAGATACGACTTATATCCAAATGCGCTGGGACGACCGAGAGTGGGAAAAGTTCACTGTTCCACTCCAAATGCTCTCACATGGCCACGCCTATACAGTCACCATCAGGAAGTCCTACTCACTAACTTCTCGCGGCATTACTGTTGTTTACGAAATTGAGTGGGCGAAAAACGAATATCCAGCACTATAACGGGTTGGTGGACCCTCTGTGTCCACCTAGGGGGATTGGAAAACCCTGATTTCACACCAATGGTACAAATGGGCTCAAGAATCCTGAGAGAACAAATGACGTATGAGCCTATTGCTGGTCACCGGTTACTGTGGACTGCATCTCCTAACGTTGCTCCACTGCCTTGTGGATCAGAGCTCTAGATCAAAGGCTCCCTAAGAAAACTACCTGCCTAGGTTTGGGCACCCGGGCAGTATGATAGCCCATATGTATTCGGTGCCCCTTTGTACCAATACTTATGTGTTCAAATAGATAAATACGATTTGAGATGATGCTACTTTTCAAGCATTACAGGAAGACAAAGAATTAATCCACTTATCATCTGACATAAATTTCTCTAACCATGAATCATCTATGTGATTAAGAAGTCTGAATAACCAGAAACATTCAGTGACTTCATGGATTACCCTCATATCCTACGTTTAGCAGTTTCTAGCTCTTTCTCAGTCTATTCTCCCATGGTGTGCAGCATATCACAAGATATAGATAATGATCATGTATACATCACTCATGTCCCAACTAAACCATTCGATGGAAGATTATAGCTAGATGAATTCAATTGTAAAATCTAACTAGGGCTCTACATTTATTCTGACCATTATTTCTTTGATAACTTCAGACAAATACTTTTAAAATTTTATAATCAAAAACTTGCAACCTATGCTCATTATTTACTTAATTCAAATGTTTTACAGACAACCTTAATCCTGCATTTGAATGGTAAAGCAAACTAATAACCGTATCGACCAGTTTATCAACCGACTGAATATTTAGCCTGTACATAAATGAGTCTGTAATTTTGCTTAGTTTAATTAGCAGATATAATGGTTGTGATATCATACCATGTAAAACATTAGAGTAATTCGCATATTTCTTACAAACACGAATGGTATGCTTTTTTAAACGATATTGGTTATGAACAAGAATTCACATACTTGGTACAGACAATTACCTAGGTATTGTAGAGGCTGAAATACACGAGTAAAATTACAGAATTGAATGATAATAATTAGAGGAACATAAATAATTGTATTTGTGTTCCTGTCACTGATTCAGAACCGTGCCACTTTAGATCTCCAACCAAGGACTCTGGTTATCTTAACGATCCTCATTACGCATTCTATACTTGCTTAGATGGTGGACGTCAACAAAGCCAACGAATTTGTAGGTTGATTTTTTGTTTGAATACTAACTGTAAAGTCCACCATTCTGGATGCAGTTCAAATTGTTATTCGAACAATTTAACCTCATAAAACATAACGAAATAGAACTTAAAACAATTCAGTTCACTAGAAATTGAAACGAAAAGAACTCAAGCACTACACTAACCTGGATTCTTGTAGTATTGTTGGTATTATTGTTTTGTGACAATGTTTCTTGAAAATTTCGAACAACTTTAGCAGCTGTTTCAGCTGCCTCTTTCATTTTTAAAGCAAATTCTGTTAAACTTAACTGAAAACTCCAATCAGATGAATGCTCATATGAACAAAACTGTAGTTGATTAAAATCACAACCATAATTTATAGAATTATTAGAAATAATTTCAATTAAGTGATCTTCTGGAGAAATGATATTTTGTCTAGGCAATAAACTCTTAACAGAATTTGTAGGATAAGATAAATTAGTAGAAGATACTAGTAAAATGGAGATCAGCGATAATGATGATAATTTAAGCAAATGCATATAAATTTGTAAAATGATCATATTGTTTAATGTAATGAGTGCTAATAATTAATTGATAACAGTCACATATGAAGTGATTGATAATATAAATGAGTGAAATATTGAATACATATTACATTGAAAATTTTATTCACTATCTTTATGCAGTTGTAACGAAATGTTAAATCTGACTGATTTATCTAGAGCATATTCAATAAGTTGGAAGTACTAAAATAAAGAAAAAGGACTTATTGATAAGATATTGATTAAGTTATCTAACATGAAGAAATTACTGGTTATTAGTTCCGCATAAGTTGTTTTCATTTGCAAATATCACACGGATATCACATCAAATCATTGTTTATACTATGAACTAAGCTGCTGATTTAAGTAGTAAGACCAAAAAACATCTAATCATGATTCATGGATGTTTGGTGCAGGTATAAGGTTTAACATCGCATATCATACACTGGAAAAAGCGTGAGAACTCGCGAAATAAACATGATGGAATTCAAGTATTTCTGTTAAATTTTGTAGTCACGCTTCAGGACTAACAAAATTAACAACAATAATTCAAGTTTAACTGAAGCCTGAGTTTGAGAATTTAGCTAAAACCTGTGCCAAGACGTATTGCCTAAATACCTACGGATTATATTAAAAGAGGTACGCTTGTCAGGGTACAACATAAAGATGGAAGCCTTAAAGATGCATTTGAGAAAGAACTCAGTGGACACTGAGAGGAATAGGTATACAATTTTTATCTAGATATGGTTTAGGATTGCCTTTTAGTCTGTGGTCTTTGACTATGATCCACATTTTTTAAAATCACGTTAGTGAATTTTAAACAGCCACAGACCAGTAGCTGCCAATTACAAAGTGTTTGAATAAACTGGTTGTTTTCCTGATCAACAATAAAAATAACCCTTGTTACACAATGGGTTTAGGTGACGAATACAGAAATAATCCTGGTCCATTTTAAGGCACTGTCACAAGATAAACTTGATAGCTAAAAGCGAATGCATTACTTGACCTCGATATTCCTTCAATAATGACAATAACTAAAAAAAATACTTGAACTACTAAGAAACCGCTTTTCAGAGAAGGATCAAATGAAATATGAGTACGTTGAGCATACAGAGAAGCATATTATCACAATACAAAATGACAGCTTCGGGTATTTGTGGCAAGCTCCATATTGATTAGTTCTGCCAGTATGTCACCAAATAGAGCATGACACATGTCAGTTGATTAAAATTACCATACCACCCGTCTCCCTATTATGAGCAAGCTTTTGTACGTTTTGATGAAGCCACAGTAGAAAATTTGGTAGAAATGGCACAAAAAACTCCAAAACTTCCCCAAAGGTACATTAGTACGACAGGATAAAAACAGCAGAGATCGAATAAACGTAATATCAATGAAACATATCACAGGTACATCGATCTCAGTTTAGCCTTGACGACTAAAACGGATTCCAACAACTGGGAAATTTACAAGGTGATAACTGAAAACCAGCTGGTTTTCTAGTAGTCTACTGGTAGTTACCCTTTGAGTGAAAAAATGACCAACAAGAATTGAAAAGTATGACAAGCTAACCGAAACAAAAATGACCGTTGTGAACAGTAAATTATTTTCAAAAGTACGGAAAATATGAAAAATAGAAAGCGAAATCTCGGGAACCAAGAAAAAGAAAACTGACCTCTTCAAGGACATCAAACAATTCGACCGCGACAATTTTGTAATAGGACATAAAAATATTTAGAAAAGGCTACTACGAGTTTAATATATTGCTTTCTGAATTCCAAAACTCCACAAAAACCAGAAAAACATCATTTGAGAATGACTCATTTCAACCAAAAGTGTAAATTACAAAATTAAACACTATCACGATCTTCTTTGAATTGGTTCGTTTATCTGTGATAGCTTCTTGTTATCATAGTGCCGTTCTGGGTATCTAGTAATGTTCAGTTTATGATAGTCTAGACTTTTGACTACACTAATTCTAGTAGGTTTGGTAGTCAATTGTGGATATGTACATCTTGCAATTTGATTGAGTTCGCTTGTCTCAGAAGAGTAAGATTTCTTGATACCAGCAGCTGTCACATTACCAGGCAAGAAACTGGATTGTTGCAATGTAAGGATAGTAAAGTAATAATTTGAGTGCGAAGAGAAGACGACGACTCCAAGGAGGAATAACTAATTGGTAAGGTGTAAGAAGACGGAGCCGAAAGGATGAGAAGGGAAACGGAGATGATAACAAAGGAAATGGAAAGTGGTCACTGATATATGGTAATGGTAACCGCGGCAAGTTGTAAGACATGCATCAGACACAGCTGGCCGAAGAGGGAGATGGTAATGCATGGGTTAGTGCTTGCCAAGTCTCCTCTAAAAGCCATGTATCGAGGGGGTGTTAGTCACTTCGTATGGGAAAGCACTCCAAATGAGGGCGACTAATGGTGATAAAAGGTGAGATTGTATCTGGGTTTCGCTCTTTGATGTGCAATCTTCCGAGGGTTGCCTTGTAGCGTGGTGTCGAGTCGTAATTGACTATGAACGCCACTACAAGGAAACGCGTACCAAACAAATCAGAAGGCGAAGGTTGAACGTAACCAGATTTATTGCGTTGGCGATCTCGTGATATCGAACGAATATCAAGATCGTGCCAAGCAACGGTATAAGCGAAAGCAGGAGAACGGAGTGCCTGCGAACAAAGCCAAAAACCGTGGAACAATGATGGAAGGTAATGGAAGCACAAAATGGCTGTAATTAGCACAGTTAGACAAAAGCACATGAAAACAAGCACCGGTACAGTTGGTTATAATAATAATTGTTTTCATTAAACCAGTCGTGTCCTCGTGATAAAAGTGAGTCACTACAGGAGCCCCCCGCTAGAAAGGGTCTACACTTTCGACAGGGAGCTATTAAACGTGACTCAATTTTGTAAATGTGGAATTCAGCTTAGCAACCAATCAGAATGAGACAGGAATTATTATATCCGCCATGGCGGTCGACTTTCATTCTGTGCTTTTTTCAGCTATTTCTTTTGTGTAGCTATGTAATTTAATGTTTCAGTGTGCTAAACTGCAGAAGTTGATGTAATACTCTGTTGGAGCAGAACTTTCCTCATTTTGCCTTGTTTTCTGGGTTTTGGCTGCTGCTACTGAAGCCAATGTATTTCTTCAGCCAAAGTGACTAGTCTATTCGGTTTTGTTTTGACTTGTTTTCTAGATATCCAAAGCCGAAGCTCGTTTTTTAGGTAAAATAATTGTTGCTGCCGCCTGTGACTCTAACTGTCCGCATATTCGTTGCTAACTGACTTTTATGATGTTATTGGCAAAATGAAAGGAAACGATCTCCGGTTTTCAATTTTCTTCAGTACTATGTACAACACTATCACACCAACGAGTCAAACTAATACAGAGTGCCCAGCAGTAGGGGATATCAGTATTGTTTTCGAAAAGACCCAGACCTCCGATAACCATAAATGAAGTCACAGATGCTACCAATCGATTGTAGGGGGTTTGTTAAAAAAATGCCATGTAGCAGTAATAGAGGGGTTTTACTCATTACGTCGTGCGTTAAAGCAAGTTTAACATTGAAAAGCCAGAAAATTGCTATCACTGTGTAGTGTATGTTTGCTGTTTTGGCCATAAAATGAAGCCGAAGGGTCATGATCAGGGGGTAAAAAGGTAATAGACTGTTATTAAGCTCACTTTTTTATAGATCATATTTCACCACTTGCGAATTTGTGTTTTTTACGGTATGATGTCAACCGGTACCTAATATGTTCACCCTTACGATGAAAAGTACCTGCAAATTTTCACCTTCATATTCGAATTATTTTTGGGCAACTGTCTTCCAGTTTGAGTACTTCGTAGGCCCTGGGAGACTAGGTTCCTACATTATTCGTAGTTCCAGTATAGCTTTCTCACGCAGTTAGTTCAAAGTAGACACTAGTCTTTCTAAATAAGCCTGTTAAGCTAATATCCGTATTCTCTATTTCAGCTAATCGATGAAGACATGTACCACGTGCATCTATTGTATACTGCCATTTTACTCCAATTCTAACTGTTATATCTTAGTTCTGAAAAATAAAATTGCTATATGCAGCAAACACAGACTTACTTGTTTTGGTGGAGATAGGGGGTTCATGTGATTTTCAGCAAGACTGTAATAATATTCTCACTAAAGAGCTAAGCGAGTGCATAGGCCAATGTAAGGCACTATACAGGGTGCCTTTGAGGTACTAGTGTTCCATTAGTGCGGGTAGGGGCATGGCTTGCCTATCATATGGCATTTGAATAAGGAGCTATAAGATTAGACGCAGGTACGGTTAGGATGTGTAACGCATGTCCATCCATCAGCTGCCGTGACAACTCATGGTGGTCAGAATAAGTTATGAGAGGACCTGAGTCTGTAGGTTTCCCAAGAAAATGACGAAGATATGTACTAAATCACTTAAATTTACTACATATGGACTAGATGCTGAAAGGAGATATAGTGTAACGTATGTATGGGCCAGGTTAACATGCAGGTTGTTGACGTATATGACGATTTAAAAATAATGAACATGACCAGAAAATAGTTTTAAAGTTTAGACTGCTTGTGAAACTTCAGGCAGGAATATGATGCGTTATAAACATTCCATAAGAAGTTACTGCATTTAGCCTAGGGACACTTACAAATATATGGCAAAAGGAACCGGAAAACATATACATGTTAAGTAAAAAAAATCATCCAGTAAAATAGTTGAACTCGCCTTGATTATTTTTGAAAATTAGATTATTCAGTGGACGACATATATAACGCCATTCGTGAGGAGTAGTAATGATCCAAAAGCATCCAGAATAAAACATACAGTATGGCAATCACTTCCAGGGTGCTTGATGCTGTTGAGGTCTTTGGGACTCGCTCTGATCAGAACAACTGAATGAATCCAGATAATTGTGTGTGCCATCTAAAATGAACTTATGATTGCAGAAAACTTATAGCTGGAACTCACCGTATGTTTTTGGAGTAGTCATCCTCGTTGTTTGGCAATGGAACTCGAGAATATGAAATTAGGCAGGCAGTGGTCAGAAGAAAAGATATTACAGGATAGTGCATCGTTTAAAACAGGATGAGGTGTTAAGTGAAGGAACACTGAGAATTAGATCCAGATAACTATTTAGTCCTTGATCGCATTGTTAGTCAATGTATATTTACGCTATTTACAGGTCATATTTGCTAGAGCTTGATGTTTAAACAAGACTATGTCGCTGAAGCATGTAAATGCTATTACAGCTTGTTAACAAATCATCAAAGCTAATTAGTTAATATAGACGACCAGTTTTTATTATCGATTGAGCTAGTTTGTCATGAGGACTAATCAATATAACATTACGATAATGCATGTGAGCATTAATCAGAGGACTATTGGAATACAGGGTTAACATAAATATAAAATCGATCGAGAAAGTTGAAGTGGAAATAAGGATTAGTAATATTAGGTTGCGTTTCTTTAGTTGGGCTCACCAACGTAGAACTATGGTCTACTATGATATTAGTACTGCTCTAATAATAGACCTAATCCTAAATTTGTAGATTCGTCATGATATAACTGCCTAATCTATAAGATCTTACGTGGAAGTCACACCATCGACTACGCCAACTCACTGTATCGTATCAATTACCAATACATGATGAAGAACAAGGTTAGGCTAGAGAAGGAACAATATATTTAATATGAATAGAGACCACGCCTGCATGGCCGAGCCATGCCACTCGATCAACTCCGGTCCATTCAATTCCTTGTTCGCGCCTTCTCCATTTTTAGGTATTTCTCCGCGTTAAATATTGAATATCTATTTTCTGAGTAGTCTCGTGTTCACAGCTTTGTGGATTGTGTGGCTATTGTCCAATGCCACTACACGTTGCTAACTGACTTTTATGATGTTATTGGCAAAATGAAAGGAAACGATCTCCGGTTTTCAATTTTCTTCAGTACTATGTACAACACTATCACACCAACGAGTCAAACTAATACAGAGTGCCCAGCAGTAGGGGATATCAGTATTGTTTTCGAAAAGACCCAGACCTCCGATAACCATAAATGAAGTCACAGATGCTACCAATCGATTGTAGGGGGTTTGTTAAAAAAATGCCATGTAGCAGTAATAGAGGGGTTTTACTCATTACGTCGTGCGTTAAAGCAAGTTTAACATTGAAAAGCCAGAAAATTGCTATCACTGTGTAGTGTATGTTTGCTGTTTTGGCCATAAAATGAAGCCGAAGGGTCATGATCAGGGGGTAAAAAGGTAATAGACTGTTATTAAGCTCACTTTTTTATAGATCATATTTCACCACTTGCGAATTTGTGTTTTTTACGGTATGATGTCAACCGGTACCTAATATGTTCACCCTTACGATGAAAAGTACCTGCAAATTTTCACCTTCATATTCGAATTATTTTTGGGCAACTGTCTTCCAGTTTGAGTACTTCGTAGGCCCTGGGAGACTAGGTTCCTACATTATTCGTAGTTCCAGTATAGCTTTCTCACGCAGTTAGTTCAAAGTAGACACTAGTCTTTCTAAATAAGCCTGTTAAGCTAATATCCGTATTCTCTATTTCAGCTAATCGATGAAGACATGTACCACGTGCATCTATTGTATACTGCCATTTTACTCCAATTCTAACTGTTATATCTTAGTTCTGAAAAATAAAATTGCTATATGCAGCAAACACAGACTTACTTGTTTTGGTGGAGATAGGGGGTTCATGTGATTTTCAGCAAGACTGTAATAATATTCTCACTAAAGAGCTAAGCGAGTGCATAGGCCAATGTAAGGCACTATACAGGGTGCC